ATAGCTCTCCTGAACAATTTTATATTTTTTGATAGCACCTTTTGCTTCTGAGCCCCCGACATGAGAATATATTATTTTATTTTATTATCGTCAATTTCTGCAAACACAGCACATAAACATTTCAAAATGCAATTGTGTATTGCCTTGAGAAAAAGTCTCGATTTTTCTCGTTCTGAGCGTGATGTTTTATGCAACGTACCACTTACGTATGTAATAAAATATTTGTATAAAAATAAATTTAACAATAATTATACACTGAAAATTAGAATTGATAACTTGAACTTTTATATTTTAAGAAAGAAAAATTATAGATAATTAATATATATTACCACCAAACTGTTATAAAATATTAAATAATTACTTTCAGCCAATGGACTGTTACATACCTTGGAAATAACCGAGAAAATAACTCTATTACCAGTTGTAGTAGACGGTATTTAATAATATGTAATACGTATGATAACTAGCAACCAGAATTAACTGCAGATATTCTACCTATATTATAACTTATTTAGAATACTAAATTATACTAATTGTTTGAACATATTATATTTCCTTACATAGGAACTATAATATAAATGTGAAATAAATTATTTCACTTAGCATTCGAATGAAATTAGCATTTGCACATATTTGAGATAAAAAGAACAGCACTTGTGATCGTCCGTGTGTATAAAGTACGACAACCGGCGCGGAGCTCACAGTATTTAATAAGAAATATATATTAAACTCAATTGCATTGAACTTATAATTAGTTATATAAATTCAATTACGACTACTACTTGTTACGGAACAAACACCCACCAAGGGAAGGCGATTTTCACTCGTCTAAAACATATTACGTGGACCAATCAACGATGGACTAGATTGTCGAAAAGGGTATAAATACCGGACACTCTCGACAATCTAGTCAGTCCACTTCAATCCTTCAAACTATCAACATCTCCAAGAAACGTTCCGATAGCAAGAAGACCAGGACCAGAAATCGACCGCCGAAGACCGACGACAACGCCGCTCCACGGCTATCAGCGCCATTCGACCGCAGACCACCGACGTTCCCGCCGTTCCCGATTGCGTATATCATCATACCGACGCATATCGACAACGACGCCGCTCCACGGCTGTAAACGTCATTCAACTGCCGAACAATAACGACCCGTCGACCACCTATCTACGGGCGCAAAGATCGGTCGATCAACAACGCCATCATCGTCAGAACCAACCAACCCCGTGACTGCCGCTCAACGGGGTGAGACCAGTGTCAGTGTACTCTTGCCGTGACGAGGCCGCCCGACCGCCACTCAACCACCCAAGCCTACGGGATCACCGGATAGGCCGACCACTCACGGCGTGACAACATTAAATGGCCCTTTTCAGGGCCACCACGACCCTAACCTCGGCACTTGATTAAGTTGTCCGACCCAAGTCTGGTTCGTCGTCGGGGTGCCGCTTGACTTAAGTCTGCACCGACGACGGCCGGCTTCCTAGCCGATCATATTGTATAACTTATATAAATCATTATAAAAACACTTGTGAAGATAGGGTCCGACAATTGTCCGACCACAATACCCAAGCGCCTCCGATTGTGCCGACTCACTTATTTAAGTCCGGTCGGCACAAATCGACGCTTTACTTGTCCCAATATTGTAAATATAAATTATAATTTAACCTAGCAATAGAAAAACTTGATTATCGAGCACACAATTGTTATTTTATTTACGACACGGGTCGTCCAACCGGACGCACCGTTTCATACTTAGCAATATTATTGCGATGTGCTTAATAGTTAATTGTTATAGTTTAAGACAGAAAATAACGTCCATAACGTTTATATGCATCACATTATACTTTATAGTGATAACTCGAGTGAGATTCCAGTCGTAAAATTAAATAAATCTTGAATTCGAAGTCGTTAAATTAAGTATATTACGTATTTCACGTATTGTTCCTAAGTACATACCCATACGTGTATAGGTTAAGTCACAGTTATTTTTAATTGTTATTTATTATCACTCAGCTCGAGTATGACATCAAGTGGACTCAGTTCATACCTACGCATAACACGATTTTGGATATTATATGTTTTTCGTGTTCAATATTGCTGTAAGCAGTGCTGAAAAAGTTACTCTATAAAATATGACGTAATCTGCGTGTACAAGTTATATTTTGTTAAATCTAAATCCTATTTAAATTCTAAATACGAGTTACAAGTTGAATCAGTGTATCTCGGGGGTCACAAATAGGAGGTACAAGTTCCATCGAAAATGATAAGAATAAAATATAAAATCGTATTTCAATTATAAAATGTAATCGTTTTATTATTTAAAGCACAGATTCATTTTAAAATTCAAATCATGAAATATTAATTTTACATTTTTACACATTTAAAATTTGTTATCGATATCAGAAAAATGACATAATTAAACTAGATTAACACCGTGTACAATTTTTAACGTTTTATGAAATTCAATTTTATAATTATTATAACTTCCCTTTAAGAAGACAAATTTATCCACATTTATAGACGTAGCATTATGCATTTATATAGGAGGGCCTATTTTGTTTATGGTCCACAGCAAATATTCTAAAAATGTAACTAAAAAATGCTTACCCTGAAATTTGAATGGATTGCCTGCCTTGATTTTTTGAGACACGATATTATTATCGCTGCAGGTAATATCGTATAAATAGGGGTACCGATTCGACTACCGCATATCGAAATGTAATAACATAATATAATATCCGGACACCATCGTTTAAAACAATAAAACTTCGCTTCGACAATTTCTTTGATAAAAATCGATCAGAACCTAATTCGTCAGATACCTATTCGAGAGGTTAAACATCATCAAAAACGCATTTATAAGACTCGCCGTGGGCGGTGGCTATTATAGTTTGCGCACTACACGAAATATTAATAATATCTCATCTCTATACTTATATTTCTTTTGGTAGCAGTTATACGGCATACAGAAAAAAAAATTTAAAGCCATATGAATTATTATTTTTATATTATACTCCCGAGATAACAATATTATGAACTACCTACAACTAAACCGAGATAAAGCTAAATGCAATAATATATTATACTGTATAACATACAATTTTACAAAGAGGAAAATCATTTGATATTGAGTTATATATATTATATACATAATATGAACATGTATTTTTTCGAAGTTGACATGAACTTATTTAATATTAAGTTGCCCCGATTGTATAGAGTGTGGTTACACACGTTTTGAAGTGTTTCCCATTCATATTTGTGTAAGTCGAAGTATGTTTGTTTTTTCTAAAAAAAACAAGAAACTTCAGCAAGCACGCAAACATAATACATTTTTACACATTAAACAGCTGAGTAAATAATTTCGGCAAATAAGTAAACGATTTACAAAAACATAAACGATTGGTATAATATTATTATTTCGCAAACGAGTGATAATTAATAATTTTTTCATATTATTTGAGTGCAAATGATTGGTCCGCGCTGGGAAATTTTAAAATGTGCTCAAACTAGTCGTAGCAGGTCGTCGACTGGAATTTATTTTGTTTTTTTCCACATCACTATAATAATAATAATAATAATATCATGTGTTGCTATCCACTCGACATTACCTGGGTCGTGTCGTGTGGTGTCGTGTAGTGTCGTTTCGTGTGGTGTCGTGTTATGACGAATTCGGTAGCTAAAATAATTGGGACATGTACGACGCAATGATTATCATTATTATAATATATCAAAACGTTATTAAAGCGGCACGTCGAATAGGCAAACACAGATGAGAGGTTTTGTCGAACGGTGCTCATCCTTTATTGTCAACTGTTGTTGTTACTGTAACATTCGCTAGTATGACGCATTGATTATATTATAATTATGGTACCATATGATAATTGTTACCATGGGACGCCGTTTTTAAAAATTATACAAACCAAACAACGACCGTCGAATTAATTAATGAAAATGTCCTTATTGAGGTTATATTTACTGCACGTGGCCCAATTATTGTCTTCGAAGTGGCCGTGTCTATAATACAAATAATTATCGTACCAGACAATAAAATGAAGGTGTAAAGTTGTAGTCGTTCCAGTAGAACAATTATTTTTTAGCGAATGATTTTTAATATAGAAAAAATGTCAATACGACTATCGGTACCTACCTTTTAATTTTGTATTCTAAGAGCTCAACATTTTATTAAAATATTAACTTCATTAGTTGTTATTTGTACTTAAATGGTTATTTCAATTATCGAAGTAAGACACGATTACTTAAAACGGCAGTTATAACATTTAAAAATTACTTGAATTACTAAAATATTACTAGAATCAAACATCTCACAACGAGTATTGATTAGGTATATTAAAATAATATTTTATTCGAATTTTGTGATAATTATTCGTTTTGTGCTTACTCGAACCACTATTGTGACTTTTCCGATCGCTCAGTGAAATCGTCTGATATTAAAATTTAAGACCTTAATATATCATAATATTTTTAGCGACCATGTCATGCGCACCCAGTGTAACAACTTGTATGATTTTCAATACTGTTATGACACGATTCCCACAAAATACCATTATAATATTAGGTCAAACAGGATTCTATGGTCGGAGTATGTCCCACTTTTCCGGTGACATATTATATCTAAATAAATAAATATGTCATATAAAAACTAACCTTTGTCGGCGGAGATTTTTTCATTCTGGATTTCGATCACTGCACACGTATACAATAATGAAGACGTATGTATTTATATTTTATTCCTCTTCCACCCTCTTTGGCCATCGAAGCTGCCGATATCTACGTGTGCGTGTGGAATACGTTTTCGGACCTCGTGATGGGTGGATGGGTGGGTGGTTAGTGCGAATCGTTCTGTGGAAAGCACGCACGCATACACACACACACATACCCACCCCTATGGGTGTTTGTGTATATATATTATTGACTCTTGTTCTCCTCGAAAATGCTTCTCAATTATGAGTCACACGCCCAGCATTATTTATTTTTATTCTCTGTCAGCCGACATCGGCTCGGTGGCGCGGTCGGCTCCTCTTTCAAATAAATAAGATTGTCGTCGTAAATAAATATATATATAATATGTGTAAAGTGTCAGGATGGGCGCTGGCGACCGGCAAAATACATCCGTTTTGTACTTCTCTCTCTCTCTCTCTCTCTCCTCCCAATCTGACATGTACAGAGAGATCAGTATTTCTAGGCTTAGTTCCAAACGTGCTGTGCTAGAAAACAGAATCTGAAGAGCAGGAAAAAAAGCAGGTAAAATAATACGAGACCTGACGCCGATTGTTCGAACCGCGCCCACATGAAGTGAGTGCTTAAACGATATTTTGACCATCATTCCAGACCATTTCGTTATGCCAGCCATGTATTTGCACTTTTTCATATGGTGGAGGGATTGGGGCGACCTAAACCAGTCGTATAATGAGACAGACTGACGAAAATAAAATGTATGCAGTCCCGCAATCATCTTGGCTTTTGGAACGCGAAATTAATGACGAAAACAGTGTATTATAACGATTTTCGGCATAACGACCATAATATTATAATATTGCCTACTATTCTAAATTCTTTAACGACATTTAAATCTCTCTTTAGACCAACAAAAATGTTCAGTAGGCCAAAAGCAAGATTCATTTAACATTTTTCAAATATTCCACGGTTGTTTCTTCGGGTATTCTCATAATATTCGTCGAGGAAAGAAAAATAAAGTACGCCAACATGTAAAACTCATCCGCGTCTGTACACAAAAATACAATTAGTGGGAAAATCGTTGGTCTACAACGATAGAATATTTGAAGCCAATGTCACGACGTCGTCATTCCACATTCAGATCGGTCGTGGAGCACTTGGTGATTTAATTTTGTTTTATCGTCAAATAAATAATACTTTACGTATTTTATATTTTTATAGCATACATCACCCCCTATGTTCTCATAATCTGTAATAAAAAATAACGATGACATACTACAGCTGATTTTTTCAGAGAAGATAGCCATAGATCATAACTACCGTAGAACGTGATATAAAAGAAAACGAGACAGTGCAATGGTCCTAAACAATAACATCCGACCTCGGCGAACAACCACTTGTCATCTTATTAAATATTTACGGTTTTTATGTACACATTGTTCATTGTTATCAACAATATTTTCGATGTATGATTAGAATAGAATATTGTTTCATCATTTTCGTCGTATGTATTCTTAATTTTCAAAAAAGTCGACAGTTAACAAACTGAAAGTACTCGGAAACGGAAGTTAATTTATTTTAGCGGTATATCGAAACCACGGTCGAACGCTGCGTTTATCCCGCAGTTTTAATTTTAAATTTTTCTTTTCTTTTTCTTGCGTCTCTAGTGTGGTCTCCGGTTTCATATTATCGACCGACAAAAGTATATTATAATATAATGTTTATCGCCGAAGAGAACGGCACCCACAAAGTACTGACGAAACCACATTACATTGTTTTATAATAATAATAATGTATACACGGGACGCGCCCGTATTATACTCGTATATTATGTACGCACTACCGACCCCGTTGCTTAGTTTTGTTCCCCTCTCGAGGATTTTTTTTTCCACTGAACGTCGTCTACTCGAAATCTCAGCTCGGGCTACTATAGGGGTGATCAGGGGCAAAACGAACCTACAATAACCCACAAGCAACCCAAAATCCACTGGTTGAGACCACTGCGGCAGCGACGTCTGTATTATAATAAAGGTCAATCGGAGGACGAAGGTCATCGGACCCGTTCGATGTATTAATTTCGGTATAGTCACGATGATAATAATTATTATCTGAGTGCGGTTTAATGACAATCGTTATCGTCGGCTGCAGCTCTTCCGATAATGGTTCTGTTACCGTGCCTCAAACCCGGTATACCTATACAACCGCGTAAATACTAAATAGCATATTACTGCCGTCGACTCGAACCGTAATATTATTATCACCATAACCGTATTAGGTATAATATTACGTTACCACCCCCGTTCTGTCATTTAATCATATTTAATTCGAGATTTTTGGAAATGCTGAGTTTACTATAATATATTAACGACCATAATATTTCCCTGGAACCTGATCTCGGCGTATTATGTAGGCGACCGCCGGGGTGGAAACGTCCATAATAACGCTATCAATATCGGAGACGTACGATGTATTCATTTCGATGAAGGTAAATGACTCTTTTTGAGCTATTTATTGGCATAGCAAATTTTTATCTGTATACCTAGATGTTTTTTAATTATTGTCTATAAACAATTTATTGATTTGTTGAAAAACTTCTTTCTAAAACAAGTAGACTATTATAAGATTGTATCACCGCAGTAATAGACGGATATTATGAGATTCAAATATATTTAAAATTCAAAAAAATGAGAATGGAAATATATTTATTAACAAAACGATGAAATGTGGGGGTGATCATGTTTGACTGAAATAGATAATATTATTATAATGTAACAGGTCCCCTCGCGAGTAATTTATTTCAGACTAATTCGTTCAAATACGTATTTAAATATTAATTTAATAATTTGAGTTTTGTTTTAAAAATTGGATTTAAAAAGTTCAAACAACGCACAGCAAAAAAATATTAAACTGATTAAAAAGCGTCGCGACTCGGCCATCCGACCCGATTAAGGGTTTTTAAAAAAAATACACATTAAAAAAGGTTGTTTGATGAGAAACAAACCTGGTACGGAGGACATTATCCTTTAAGCCCCTAATATAGCGTAATATTATGATATAATATATTTTGTACTCGTAGTTAATTATCGCATTCGCTGTTATCTCTCGCTTGTACTTATGTAAATAGAGGAGCGCGTGTCACGTTCCCTTGTTATTTGAACGCGGCGACGGGTCGGATTTATATCCGATTTACTATTAGGCGGCCAAATATTATTTTAAGGGTCTCGTGAGGTCGAGTTTGTTGCCCGCCACGTGTCTGTTTTCCTTGCGCATTATCGTAGTCGTCGTCGCTATTATTATATACCTGTGCGGTAATAACCAGTCACGCACGGTATAGGATTATAATATTATTAATATTATTATTATACGATTGGTGGCGACGGGGGCGGTGAGGAGAGAATTATAGGCATTGGTCATTGTTCGGACGGCATTCAATTGCAGTGCCGGGAAATTTTAATTATAAATCAATTGTGCCCTTGAATGTTTATGTGCGAAAAATAAATTATTTTCGACTGTATTATGGCCACGGCTTTGCACCCGAATGAACCCTTAACACCCTCCAAAAAAACCTCAACGATCAAACACTCGAAACACGTACAACCCGAATGATTTTTTTCTCAAAAACACCCATAGGTATTAGCCGAAAACCGAAATTTTTTTTTTATCTTACAAATCGTAATAATTATTTAAAAATTAAAATAAACAATTACTATTAATATCAATGATTTTTTTTAAATACTTTTCAATTATTATTATATTGTGTAATAAAATAAGCATACATATGCTATTTTTTTTTTTATGATGGTGTGGGCTACATAAATTTGATCTCAAACCCAAGAAATATATTTATTGTGGTAAATATTTATACACGACATATATATCCGATTACTCTTTTATTTTTCTTAGGTTTTAATCAATTCACTAAATACCCGTATTAACCTTTATCAACCCAAATAGTAATCGTTATTAGACCACAAACATTTCTTTAAATTTTTTATTCCTTTATTTAAACACCCAAAATCCAAACGAATGATTCGGGTTCCTAGTTGGTTATGACTTCTAGATAACAATATAATATATTGTATTATTGCACTGAAATTTCAAATTTAAAACAAATGGAATTGAACTTGACTTTATGTCTAAATAAAATGCGAAACAACAGGTATCACCCTCGCCATTTTTTTTTCGTAATAATAGCACACCTACTTATTTTTCTAGAATTCAATAATCACGTCTTGTAAAATGGTCAGGTTTTGGTAATTTTTTTTTTTTTAAAGTGTAAAACTTTTGTTAAAATCATATTGATCTTTGATTTTTTATTTTATTTAAATAACCCTGATAAATACATTTCAAAATATTCAACGATTTTTGGTATTACTTAACAGCCGTTTATAACAACTTCTAAAAATTAAACTTTAAAAATCGAAGTCCTACGTGACATTTCCAGTGTCTTCATCTTTCAAATAGGTAACAAAAAAATAGTAACCAAAATCTGAATATTTTACAAGTCCGTTTTTAAGCTCACTGTACGGGCAAAGCTCGATAACCTCGAATAACTCTGTAATACATACGTCCGGCGTCTCACAAAAATAATATTCGTCTTCCCTGGCCTTCCAAATATCATACCCTCGTCCCCTCCCCGCAATAACTATTATATTTCATTGAACAATATATATATATACGTATATTAACAATGTATTTTCCTCCACAGTGGCGTACCTGAACATGGGGCAGCTGTTGGCAACGATGGGCCGGTGCGAGGAAGCGGAGTCCGTGCTGAAACTATGCAGTTCGTTGGACGGTTCGCATTCCAAGGACCCTGTAAATCACGAGACCAGCAGGGTGTCGGCACTGGTCACGCTGGGCAAACTGCACGCCGACCGTGGCAGGTACTCGGACGCGGTGCAGGCTTACAAGCACGCTGTCGCCATACTGCCACCGTACTACAACTCTCGGGTGAGTATTATTGAATATAATATTTATTATACTTTCATTGTGGTAACCGAAAAAAATAATATCACACATAAAAAGTCCCCGGTAATAAATGTCTGCTGCTCACGCATCGATATACCTACGTCTTGTAAGACACTGCGTGTACGTCGTTTAGGTAAGCGTGCTCGACTTATAGCGACGGCTTAAAAATAGCATCGTCTTGACTATCTGAAAAAGCTGACGGCTTCAGACAAGACTCTTGTCCGGAAAGTAGAAATGCCTTGAAATAGGGCCGTCTGCGATGTGGTCACGTCGTCGTATGTCGCGTTTTGGTGGCGATAGGTAATGCGTGCAAAAAAATAAAAGACGAAAAAGGATCGAGTAAAAAGTACTGAGAACAGCGGTCAAAAACGGTCGGGAACCCTACAACATTGAATCTTTGCGGTACGCCATCGTAATAAAAGAGAAGGTGCTTGAAAAAAAACCGATGTAATAATATCATTATAGGTGCTGGGGGCATAAACACTAAAAAATTAACACGTGACTCCGACTAATCTTGGGTTGAGTGTTTTCGTGGTTTTTTTATCGTATTATTTATTTATTCAACGCGCCCTTTTTGCCTTTCGCCCTTCGTGTTAGCGTTAATAATTAACACAACGTTGTAGTCGTCGTCGTCATCGTCGTCGTCTGCTGGCCCTTTGTTTTCACCCTTGTTTGGTGGTAGGTGTTTTGTATTGTTTTTTGTCGTCCGTTATGATTTCCCGCCATCAAACGGTTCGGTAAAACAAAACGCCACCACACATGCTCCACCTACTCCATATCCGCGGCACGGTGTGAGGGTCACGTTTCGTGTTCTAAACTATATAATACGACTTTGGTCTAAAAGTTAAGGAACCAAGTCGACCTTTTTTATTCGAATTTTAATTTTTACAGCGTGTAGCAAAATATACTTGACACACTCGACACTCGTCATAGTACCACTATCTATTATCATAGTGAGCATGTCAATGACCAAGCGACCCAGATTTAACGACACACAACAACACTCATTCTTATCAACATGCTCAGCCATACAAGTTATTAAAAATGTGTGTGTGTGTGTGTGTGTGTGGTCTTAAACTTAAATAGGGACAATCACTTCCATGTATTGTATAAAAAAAAAGAAAAAAACACATAATAAGTCTTATAAAGGTATGTTAACAGTTGTATAATATGTATATGTGTACCCGGATGACTATAATATTATGTCTCGAAGCCTTCTTCCTTATTATCAATACTTATATAATATATATAGGTATTTTATACTTCCTAGTTTATAGTATGTTAAATGTTAATGTGTATCACATAATCCACTATAGCATTATTATACCTACGTCATATTGTGTTTTTTCTAATATTATATTAATATTAATAACTATGATGACACGGCGTCCTGAATAGGTAATTTAACTGCACATCTACCTTATTGTCCATTTTCCAGTAACTCGTCTAGTGGTTCGGGAGTATTTTTTTTTTTACAACAAATAAATTAACCTTTTTTATTTTGTGAAGAATAGAAACACATGATAAGTATGCGTGAGCAGTACGAGAAAATGTAATACATTTAATAGGATTTAGTTTTGTAACAAGGCACGACACCGACTAGGATTTATCCGATGGCGGGGATTACCCAGTAAAGTTTGAACATAAGCTCGCACTAATATCATGAGTGGATTAAAACAATAAATTTCGTGGGAAATTATAAAAGTGTACAGCTTCCCCGCGTATGTGAATTCTTTAGTGAAATAAACATTTTATGTTGCACAAAGTTAACAATTAAAAAGGTCGAGTATAAACAATGTTTTCGTGGTTCAAGTGTACGGTATACTTTTCGGAATTCGTTTGATTCTGCTCAAGTTCGTTATTTTTAAAACTCTTTCAAATAATTAGAGACGATACCTTATAAGTATATACTATATTATATTATACTAAATACAATATAATATTATTTCTACGTATTCAATAATAATATATACATGGTGTCTCGCAAGGATTTACCCATTGCAAAATCTCCTGAGATGTTAAATATATCATAAATCTGTTTTTTTTTTTTTATTAGACTCATAGAGACAACGACTACACATATTTTACTTTTAATTTAATTAATTTTTCTTGTAAAAAAGTTAATAAAGTTATTTTTTATTTTTGAAACAATTCATTTTATAGAGTTTATTTTTGTGAAAATATTGACTTTTCAACATTTTATTTTCATTAATCTCGTGATTTTTATTATTTTTTTGGTTTATAGGTAATACGGCAAAAACCGGTTTTTGTCCGGGTGGCTACGGCTAATGGGTATATCCTCACGGGATACCCTGTGTATATATATATATATATATATATAGAATACGTAGAAATAATATTATATTGTTTGATCAATGTATAAATTAGTATAGTATTATGTATTCAGCGACAAAGGCAACCAACAACAAAGTTCGCAGAATTTAAGTCAATCTAGATGCGAAATATGGTTGCATAAACTTATATCGGGTTAGCCTAACTTCCAAGTCCAAAAACGCCTAACCGCGTCAGAGAGAACAATGGTGATATCGTATATGTTCTTCTTAGTTCTTACTCTAGGACAGACCGGACGTAACTTTGCGGTGATTTGCGGCAAATTTCAACTATATCTATACAATAATATGTATACCGCGGTATTAATTTATTAGCAAACCTACGACAGTTACGCAATACTTTAATTGCGAGCCAAAACCGACTGTAGCAATTGTCGATCATTTGGGCAAGATTTAATTAAAAGATATTGAGTGGGAGACGGAGACGTTTTAAGTTTGATAAATAATCTTTCGTGCAGAACTCGATCAAATACTCGAGATATAATATCTGATACGTCACGAGTGCAATATAAACGAATCTAGAACGAAATCCACTAGGGCCATATAATATATGGACACTGTGGAAAGGACATTTTTTTTTTACAAATATAATTAATACGATAAAAAATAATAAAGTAATTACGTTACGTTTAATAACTGTTATTATATCATATATCTGAATGACTTATTGAATTAAATAGTGAGTGGAAAATGTAATACTCGAAAAGCTGACATCACCGGTCGACGGGCATATACAATGTTTATTTAACAAATTAATTAATACCATAAAATACTCGATGGATGAGTAGTATTGTAATTAACAAACCGTATCAGTGGTTGACTATAAACAAAATTAAAATATTATTGAAACAAGAAAACTATATACCGCGAATACACTATAATTGTATATACTATACTTGGTTTATTATAGACGATAATGTTATTTTATTGAGGTACAGATTTAAAATATTACAAAATATGTAATAATGTTCGACGATAGGCCACGAGTAATTCAATCGTTGCGATGATTACTAGATCGTCGGTTATATAATATTTTTGGACATTATATCTTCAAATTTTTCAAGTGTGCACTACGCAGAGATTTTAGATTGAAAACTAACTATTGTTTACAAATTTTTACGAACAATATTTCTCGACCTCGTTTCAATATTCCTACTGGAGCCAATCGTACGACCCTCTTGTTGAATAATATTATACATATTATTATGTTTCAATGAATTTATAACCACATAAATATCCCACGATAGAAGAGAATTACCTGAATTTTCGTGTAGATAATATTATATTATATTGCAATAATGATATACTATTCTGTGTCTGTGAGTTTTTGTTCTCAATAAAATACGTAGCAAATCAAGTATTTATTTTTTTAGTTATTTATCCAAGATACGTGCTGTCGGGTTTTATTTCATCAAAATAAAAAATAATAATACCAACATCAAACGCGCGAATTTATAAAAAAATGTTTGTGATTCAAGCGAATTACTCACTCTGGATAATATTAATCACCACACCTTCCCCCAATTATCTCATTTTTCTCCTCGTCGATACGGATATCATCCCAAGACTAAGATAATAATTTTTCCGGGCGTTTTTCTCACCCCTTCCGATACGAACCATTTTACCGTGGAACCGATAAAATATCAGCGTATTAGGGGGTGGATAGGCACCCCTATTTCGACCTTATATTCGATTGCGATGTAAAGCTATCTTGAACGTGCGTTATAGTTATTGTCGTTTGCAGGTACTGTTCAGTTTGTACGGCGACGCGTTGGCGCAACTCAACAGACACAGAGAAGCCGAAATGTGGCACAAGGCGGCACTGGAAGTCGGGCCCGACCATGTTCCGGCGCACTTGAGTTACGGGAAATGGCTGGCAAAAAACGTGAGTTGAGGGTTGTCACAATTGTTATAATAGCATAACGCCTATAATATTATATATTATACAGTGCCATTATTAAAAATGTTATTATGTGTCGTCGTGTCGATATTTTTGTCTCGATGAGATCGCTAAAGTGGCGGTGTTGCTTTAAATGTTAAACATTTTATAAATGATTAGATCTCCTATAATAATATTATAGTGTTAAATTATTATTATAAATCGCGAACGAACGACCATCAATTCGGTATATCATAATATATTATAACTATAGGTTTAAAATGTACAAATTACACATTGTTACATTACATAATTATATTATTATGTTAATACAAATATAATATAAATGTTTTGGTGAACATGATTATGAACATAGGGGGCCTGCCTCCCACCTCCCCAGCTCGGGACGCCCATAGATGCGTTTCGGCCGGATCGAATCATAGAAATCTGAATTCGTCTTTGGAAAATTTCATATCGCAATACATTATTATTATATTGTTAACACTCGCTCTACCGAACCTAGTTAAAATAATTTTGGCGGGACAGTGCAAAGGGATATTTTAATATTTGACCACTTGCAACCGTAATTATATCATAATTTATTCCTCACGATCCTTACCGACCTCATGACCATACAAAGGTGAAAAAATATGTGCACAATTCAATGGCCAAGATATAATAATTTAGTGTACCTAATCGCACATTACCTATTTTGTATTTTTCATCACTCATCGATCGTAATTTTATAATAATATTAGTATCTTTATCGGGTTTAATAATAACTGAAGCTCGGTTAGATAAGAAAAAAAACCAACTGGGCAATTGTTTGAAAAACTCCGCCAATAAAATAATATTATGTAAAGCAAGTATTATATGATTCGTCACTGTCGTGAAAAAAGCCACAACAATTCAGATCTGAAAAGTGAAAATGATACTGTTAAATACCTATTCTTATTACATTCGAACTAAATACAAAAACAATTTATAAAACTATAAGTACAATTTTACGACATTTCACAATGCGTCGAAAATCATATTCTAAAACCCAACGAGTGTAATATAATATTATCAATTCGCAAACAACAAAAAAGTCATATGATTTTACTCGGTCACATGCTATGGCGATTATATTATATATGATTTGTATATGTAATACCCTATATCATATTTTATAGTGCTCCACTTCGATAAATACTTAATAGGTAACGAATAATGGCACTTTGGATATTATATATTATTCATTGGGCGCAAACTTTTCCCCTCTGCGATACGACGCAATAATATTATGCAATAAATGATAACCAAATAACGGTGAGACATCGGCGGAATGTAATTCGATGGTTGTTTTTTTTTTTTTTTTAATTTTTTAATAACTTTTTTCACCGTAATGGCTCAACTGAATGCTCAACATTAAACGGTTGAAAAGTATAAAAGTTACTTTCAACTAAACTTATAAAACGAGTTGCCTCTTTTCTTACTTAACGATGTTTTTTTTTCACATTGGCGTCACTTCTGGATCACTGGTATAATTCGTGGTGGTATAAACATCCTTATCATTTTCGTTCGTTTGGAAGAATTCGCCACAACTCGTCTCGAAATGTTAAATGCACAATTTCTGGATTCAAATAGAAGTCAAAATAACGTTTATAAATACAACTTTATATAGATACATTTCCATGGAAAGTTGTTACAGTCGAATCCAAATATATTGATATTTGAAAATATCTCAACAATAACAGTGCCAGACCACAAAGTTTGACATCTTAAGAAACGTTGGTACAACGAACTCTTAAACAATATTGACATAAACAATTTATAACTTAGGTTAGGTTGGTTTTTACTTTTATTAATATAAAGTTTTCCAGAAATGGTCATCCAAACTTAATATTATTAAGATACAATTTTTTTTAGATTTTATAACAAAAGATAACATCTATTGGTAGAGCGCTAGAGTATGTCATAGGATTGCCTCTCTATCCATTATGATTCTATACTGATGACTACTTTATGTATTATATTTGTTACCTATATATTTAATATTTATTTCGGGTTTGTGTAGTATCAAATGTATTTATTGTACAGTACAGGTATATTCAGTTCAAAAAAAAAAATAACTGATTTTTAACTTAGTTAATTTACTTTTTTTCCAAAAAATAAATAAAAGTAACTATTAAAACTAAACTTTCATTTTTATTTATTAACGTAACAAAACGAGTTTAAAAAAATTAGTAAACTTACTCATCCTTGTACCTATACATGTTCCTGTTTTCCCCGAGTCTGCAGCAGTATTACGTACCTATGATTTTTAAAAATCAATACTATTCTTATTATGGATATAGGGTACATGGATTTCCTTACATATTTGTGATTTTGAAAAATACGTTTTTACACGACAGTTTAAAGTACTTTTGTTTGTAGATCAATTTTTCTCGTACACATTTATTTTTGAATGACAATACATAATTGTATTTCCATGTTCTGAAACAAAGTACTTTTCTAAACATTTCTCTAATGTACTGCAGAGTTGAATAATTGCCATTTATTTAATTTTTTTTTTTTTAATCTACATCGACTCATAATTTAAAGTCCAGACAAATGATGTTGTGCCTCCCTTCTCGTTTGAAAACATATTACGCATAACATATTATAATAATACATACCGCACAACGATACTTAAAAACAATATTATATATTATAAATAATTCACTCAGTATATCTATTGTACATCGCGATGTTAAGAAAAAACTATTCCAAATACGAAGTTTAAAAAAAAACTTAATCGGCAGCCTGCGCATTTCGATATGTATTATATTATATCGCCCACTGCGATTTACAGACGGAATTCGATTTTAATCGACCAAACGGATCACCTCGCTGTGCATACCTATACCATAGTAATAGTATATTATAGAAAATATTATTATATCTTCGCCAAAAGTTCGCGAAAATTATAACATATAATTATAATATTAAACGCAAGCACGCATCATCGATAGACGAATTCATATTAGACATATTACGTTGTGTGTGCATAATAATATTATGTGCGACGACTTCGCGGAGTTGACAATTTTTTTTTATTAACACACACCCATGTCCGAACCGAATTATAAGCGAATTTGCCCCATAAAACGTGTAGGACGTCCGTATCCGGTGCGCGTCGGTGGGCTTGTGTGCGTGCAATAAAATATAATATAATATATAAAACAAATAAAACTTCGCGGGACGACGATATAACACGTCTTGACATTACGCAGCGTTTCGTTTACACGTGTAGGCTGCACATAATATTATATAATATTATTATAATTCGTTTGTACACACAATGCACATAATATATTATTATTATTATTGTAACGGGTGGTAGGTTATACTATATACAACGCATAGCCCTCTCTTCTGGCATGGAAACGTTATTGCATTAGTTCGGGTACCACACACCACTGCAGTAGACATACTAAACGATATTTATATGATACGGAGTGATCTGTTGTTAAACGTCCAACGATTTCTTCCTCATTTCTCCCATTTTTTTTTTTAACAAACTCCTGTCAAACTTCTGAAATCGGTTCTTTCAAATTACGTATTCTACGTTATAAATTATATTTTAATGGCAATTAATGTAATGACAATATTATATACCTATATGGGTGTATGGGTTATATGTGTATAATATTTATAAACACGTTTAATATTCTAAAATGTATTATAGAACTTTATATTTTACTATCCACTACGATAGTGTTTAACTCAACATTCTCGTATTACAATCTAATAATAATTATGCTTACTGCAGGGGATGTGTATCCATGAAATGACATTAAAATGTTTTTTTTTAATTGTTTGTGTTTTAATTGGTTACAAAATAAAAATATGATTACATCGAATAGCTCACGTATGTGCCGCTAAATTTCACTAACTATACTGTTTGTAACAGATATTTTTTAAAAACGTTTTTACTCGTCGAAACCACTCGAATCACAGAGTGATGTACATGTTTATATCGATAAATCTCACATAATTTAGTGAATCAAGTTCTAAGCCCTGTATTATGTATATTACCGGAAATTGTGATAATTCAAAATATAAAACTACATTTCTTAGGAAATGTCTCAAATGCCGAGTTGTTAGCCAATGGACTGCTATAAAAGTATCATTTATTACAGCACTAGCTGTGTGACACAAATTCGTTCGGGAAAAATTGAACAAAACATAAAATGGGGTGGTATATCGGTGATTGGTAAGTCTCGGCTTTTAGTGCACCTCAGTTCTAGGTCAAATAATCAAATTGGGTGTACTTAGGTTTGAGAACTAATTTTACTGAGATCCTCATGTGGCATATTAGATATAGCACTTTGTAAATTTTCGATCGTGGTTCAAACTACTCTCTAAACTTACCTGATATCTCTAAAAACAATATCTGAAACTTTCGTAAAAATTCATTAAACAGTTTTTGAGTCTAGAAGCTATATACAAACATTATTACGGACATAGCTTTTTGGTGTACATTTGAATAACAAACAATTAATAAAATATTATTTTATTTTATTTAAAAAAAAAAATCCCATAGCGGCGAATAACTGTCTTAGTTTTTTTAGTGTACTAAAAACAAATTTATGCGTGTGTCACCCTATATAGCAACTAGCAACCCAGCGTCCTCGAACTTCAATCTATATAGTGGTTGAAAAATGAATTAAAGAACACTCCAAGGGTTTCAAAATGTAATATGTATGCCAATTGGTTCTGCAACAGTTTCTAAGTCTACAAGTCCCATAAAAAACGTACATTCATTTTTATAATATAACAATATATAGAACCTATATGTCTTCAAATTATGATAATTTTTATGCAACCTATTCATATTTTTAGAAATTTTAAAATGTCAAATGTTGGCATCATTTCTTGACAAAAATGTCTAGCGAATATCGATTCCTACATGAAACAGGAAATTCCGCTATCACATAGTCATTTGTTGACAATGCCTGATTGTCATCATTGTTGATAACACACGTATA